ACATCACTTACGACTTCATTACCAAATGAAAACACCATACCAGAAAGAAGCAGCTGAACTATTTCTCACAAATCAGGGCCACAGAAACAAAACTTGATTTTATTGAAGTACCTGCAGATACCAGAAGCCCACCAGAAGGGAAGAGAAGCACGCTCTCCACAGGCTGGCCATGTTCTATTGTCATGACACTGCTTTTTGTTCGTGCATCAAATAGTTTCACAGTGTGATCATAGGAACCTGCAAACACCACCATAATTAGCTTTAGTTTCATAATTTCAATTATTTCAGGAACTAAAACAGCCGTATCCTACAATCTAAAGTATTTTCTGCCAAATGGAAAGTTTTAAACTATACACTTAGAATACCTTGGGGTTTACCTTGGTTAATTTTCAACCTTCAGGCAACATAAGTCTTCTAATTCTAGCCCTAGCAATGTGCCAGGCCTCAAAAGTAATTTAAGTCTTAATCTAACTTCCCTTCCATTAATCAAGCATATTTATAACAATAAACATCAGGCAACCTAATGAAACCAAATGGCAGAGCTCAGAGGTTGTGATCAGCAGCGCAGAGTCTAGCTGAAGGCCTGTAACCAGCCATGTTCCCCCGTGGTCAGTACTGGGTCCAGTCTTGCTCAACATATTCATCAATGACCTGGATGAGGGCACAGAGTGTACCCTCAGTAAGTTTGCAGATGACACAAAACTGGGAGGAGTGGCTGACACAGCAGAAGGCCCTGCAGCCATCCAGTGAGACCTGGACAGGCTAGAGAGTTGGGCAGAGAGGAACTTAATGAAGTTCAACAGGGGCAAGTGTAAGGTACTGCATCTGGGGAGGAATAACCCCATGCACTGGTACAGGTTAGGGGTTGACCTGCTGGAAAGCAGCTCTGCAGAGGACTTGGGAGTCCTGGTAGACAACAAGTTAACCATAAGCCAGCAATGTGCCCTTGTGGCCAAGAAGGCCAATGGTATCCCAGGGTGCATTAAAGAGAGCATGGCCAGCAGGTTGAGGGAAGTCATCCTCCTCCTCTACTCTGCCCTGGTGAGGCCACATCTGCAGTACTGTGTTCAGTTCTGGGCCCTCCAGTTCAAGAAAGACAAGGAACTACTGGAGAAAGTCCAGTGGAGGGCTACAAAGAAGATCAAGGGACTGCAGCATCTCTCTTATGAGGAAAGGTTGAGAGACCTCGGTCTGTTTAGCCTGGAGAAGATTAAGAGAGGACCTCATCAATGCTTACAAATATCTAAAGAGCAGGTGTCAAGAGGATGGGGCCAGCCTCTTTTCAGTGGTGCCCAGTGACAGGATAAGGGGCAACGGGCAGAAACTGGAACATAGGAGATTCCATCTAAACATGAGGAAAAACTTTACTTTGAGGGTGACTGAACACTGGAACAGGCTGCTCAGAGAGGTTGTGGAGTCTCCTTCTCTGAAGACATTCAAAACCGACCTGGACGCATTCCTGTCCAACCTGCTGTAGGTGAACCTGCATTAGCAGGGGGTTTGGACTAGATGATCTCTAGAAGTCCCTTCCAACCCCTACCATTCTGTGATTCTGTATCAGAAATTACCTTTCTGCATTTTTCTTCAATTCAGTCTAAAAGAAGCATATATAAAAAATAAAATCAAACCTGTTATAAAGACATCTGCATTGACTTTACTTGCACAGCCGCATCTCACATAGTCGGTATGTTCACTGTATGAGACGATTTCTGTAGCACTTGGAATATCCCACAGACTTGATGAATAATCATCACCACCGGAAAATATTCGGTATTTATCAGATAGGAAGCCCACTACATGAACAGCTCTAGAAACAAAGTACACAATATCGAAAGTTAAATACATACTCCTTTCTAGAAGAGTTAGCCTGTATCAAGAGCTTAGTGTTTACTGTTGGAAGTTACAAAGCATCACTTTAGAGGTTAAAAACACTTTAGTTACCGTATTTCCAGCCAGAAAATGGTCATTCTGACAGATGCTTAGCTAAGCACTGATACGATCTGCCTTGAATGTTTTACAGATCTACTAGATGCTCATTCAAAAGCTGTAAATTCTGCATTTGTTACTTAGAGGTCTGTGTACTAGCACTATCCTTTAGAAAAAGATTATAACAGTGAATTTTAAGCTTGACTAGGTTGGACACTCTTCTCACCATTTAAAAATCACTATTTGAATCTGTATTATCATCATAACATCCCAACAGAGACTGACTGACAGAAAACACAGATACCCTAAATCTTACTACCGTTACCCTAGTGGTTAGGATGTAAAATAATACCCAATCTACAAACACAGACCTCAAGTAGAAAAATCTCAAGGTCTGCCTGTGTGCTTTCCAGTGGAAGGGGGTTTGTTGTTGTTGTTCTGGACACATAAAACACGTACTGGTCTTGCATAGCACAGCAACCTGTTTATTCTAGGCATTATCATTGTCTTCTCACTAGTACATCAGAACTCCTCTTCTAACGCCTTCCCCAGCTCAACCCCACCTTGCCATCATACACTTTTTCTGTTGGTTTTTTTTTTCCTTTGGTTTTGTTGGGCTTTTTAAGGGATTCCTGCTCTTCCTGGAATATTTCTTCACTGTTTTTTTAACCACTTTTTAGAACTCTTTTCCTGCCAGGATCAAACAAAATGTACTTATTAGTGCCACGTAGTGACAAGACTACGGCTACACTACATATTAATAGGCACCTCGCTGAATTAGAAAATGTATTTATTCTTCCATGTGCTCAATTCATACTTAGAATTAAAAAAAAAAAAAACACTCCAGTTTTGAATTCAATTTAAAAATCTACTTTTTGGTAAGATCTACATGAGACATTTGTGAGCAACACAGATCAGTATTATTCAGATTTCCAGCAACATGCAAAGCAGACACATGTAAATACACCCAACAAGCTTATGCACACAAAGAAAAAATAACACTGTCTTACTTAGTAGGACCATCAAATTGTCTCAGCGGTGCTCTTCCACTAAGGTCAAAGAGGCGAATGGTCCCTTCCTCACTGCCAGCAACGAGCAGATTGCCATCATCTCTGTATGTGGCACAATAAGCAGCATCTTTGAAGCGAGAAAATGTTTTGATTGGTTCCTGAGAGTAACGACCATAAATGTGGATCTAGCAAAACAAGAAGACAGTAAGTTTGCTCATATGTACCAACTGAAGGACAGGAGCATAAAGACCTCGGAAAAGCTACTTACCCTTGAGGAGGCTGTGACAGCATAGTTATATGGAGAAACCGGGGAGAAGTCAATTTTAGTTACTGCACCAAATTCCTTTATCTGAACAGGTGTCTAAAACAATTGTAATGAAGATCATTAAGTACACATAAGCACACCATCATAAATGAAAACAGCAAATCAAAACCTAGTCTTCCTACAAAGAGCTCAAAACTCCATTTAGAACCAAATTATATTTCAAATACAATCTTATTGAGTTTCTCTTCTGCCAGGCTACTTCTGCTCCTACCATTTTTTTTCCAATTCACGCATTACAACTAACCCATTAATTGTGCGTTCTGAGGAAAAAACAACCTTATTCACTCACGAACATTTAAAAATACATTAATCGGTCGCACGAAAGTAAAAAATAAAATATTTTGAGACAATAAGTACGCCCGTTGGGCCAAATTGGGGCACAAGTCAGCCTCGCTTCCCAGGAAGCCGTTTAATAGGCTTCAGGGCGATATCAAAGACCCCCTTCCAAGCCGAAGCGGCAGGAGCTGGCAGGACGGGCACGGAGCAGAGCGCAGACCCC